ATATCTGATGAGACTTAACTGGCCTTACACCTACCCATGACCATCCATTACCAGTTCTCGTACTGTGCCTTAGTCAATTGCAGTATAGCCTCCCAGCAGCCAAGAGTACTCCCTTCACTTGCTAGAAAGGGAAAAGAACTTTGGATCCAGTCTCCCTCACATTTCCTATTATGACTCTCATCATGTCTGTCTCCTCTTTCTCAAGCGTATCTGCTGATTGTTACAGTGTTGATCTCGTGTATAGAGATCAATGGTGCAGTAACTCTCCCATGTGGTGCTGTGAGTACCAAAAAAACCAAAACCAAAAAGGTTCTTCCTTCACATTAATGCAGTCCTGTTTGAAGCAGACTATGTTAATGTGAATAATAAATGTTTTCTTTCATACTCCACAAGGGGCATTCCAGTGCAACACTTTGGTTTGTATTGCTATGCACACACCCGTGGTCTGGCTGTTGGAACTATAGGACAGCGTACGCATGTTCTCGGTATTATGATAAAAGAGGTGGGGTGATGTAAGGGACTGGGAATTATGCCTTTCCACTCAAGATCATTGCTTCAAAAATGGGCTTGGTAGGCAGCTCTTTGGTCATTGTGAAATGTGTCCGTGGTCTCATTAGAATTCGCAGTATACAGATGTACTCATCACCCTAACCAATCAGCACTAATTGGAACCACTGTAGGCAATGGTAGCTCAGACAGTGTAATTTGAATGCGTGTGAAGAGGGGATTTTTTTTGAAGGAATGCCAGTGGGATGAAAACTGGTAGGGTTTTCCTTTATTTCCGTTATGGATGGAATATTGGGCATGATTGTAAGTTTCTAGTTTACTTGAAAAAATCATTTGAAATTCCTTTTAAATAGCTTTTCCTTGATATCTTCCAAGGTTTAAATAAGTCCCATGGTTTATATTGTCAACATTCCCAGAAAGCACTGTTTGTCAAAAGACAGGAAATATGCAACAATTAAATGCATTCTCTTGTTTTCTGTGAAACAATGCCCAATCTCTTTCTTTTTCAGTATCACAGATGGAGCTTTAAACAGGCTTTGTAGTTACCTTTTAAAGATTTAGGGCCATATATATAGGTATTTTATAAAAGGACATTGTTTTTATTTGATTTTGGATGTAAAATTTTCAGAGGTTTTTATTTAACAGCTGGAAGCAATACTTGATCAACCTGGCGAAGTTCAACTAAAATCGAATGTTAAGCTCTTTATGGGAGGAAAAAAAATCAGTCTTTCTGTATTTGTGATTAAATAGAGTTCATTTAGTCTGCTTCATTTAGTTCATATGGCTATCGTAGTGAAACTAAGTAGAAAAGATTATACCTTATCCCAAGTATAGATGTTAACAATAATACATTCTCACTATATTTTCTTGCCTTATTTGCCCTTGTTAAACTAATCAGATTTGCATATTTGGATTTAATATAATAGACATCTAAATAAAGTCCACATGGCAACTTCATTAGAACTCAAAGGAAATTTGCAGAATACAGAGCACAAAGGAGTGCTGTCTCCTTTGATATGAAGCTGTAGTCTCTGTAATGCTATCACGCTGCTTCTTGGGCTGAACAAATCAAGTTGGACCCTCACAGCTAGGACTGGCAATTTCTGTAGGTCCTATCTTGTATAAGAACTGCAGTCTGCTTTGTTTGATGTAAATTAGGTGTCAGGTTCACATTCCTGGCAAGATGCCAATGCAGTTCTGAAATGCGAAGACTTACAAACTTAATTTGTGGACTGTATTACTGGTGACAGTCACATGGTGGATCTCTGTGGCCTGCATTTAGTACACAGGCTCAATCTGTAGCTATGGAATGCCATGCTAAGGAGTTGGGAAGGAGGATGGAAAGACATTGTGTTCAATGCGCCTCTTCACTGAGGCTGACAGAAACCATTCTCTCCAATGTGGAGATGGATCACACTGGAAATGTATAAAGAAATGTGGGGAAACTTCCATGTGTCACATAGAGATGTAAGTTAAGTGATGATGACTCTCCTGAAAAAAACAAGTTATTACTTCATATCCGCATTCTGTGTGAGGGACCAAAAGCACAAATTTGTTCACCTTCAGGGCATGTTGTAAAGTCCATCTGCTAACCCAGGCTTTGGGAGAGAAAGGAGCATGGTAATGGCCAATACTTGTGGTAACGGGCTAATTTAGGTTTTGATTTAATTTTTGGTTAATTATTTTCTGATTTATGGTGAGTTCTGACTCCTTGTTCATCTTCCCACCTTGTACGTATGTAATTGTGTTTCCATTTATGCAATGGGGTAAAGAACTTCTGAGTATTAGTTCCTGGGTTTTAAAAATGAGAATATTACAGGGGACAATGCAAGGGTATTTGTTGTCAGGAATGACATCATGTCATTGCAGTGCAGTTTGAATGTCTGAGAATTTAAAAGAGGGCTCACTTTGAAAGGTACATAAAAAATGTACCTTTCAGAGTTGAAACCAACCATTTGCAATCAATAATGTCTCAGTGTCCATTGTCAGTCCATGCACTGAATGTAGCTGCAGATAAAGGAACTGTCACCTTGTCTGGAGTGCCGACTTCTGGGCAGACTGCCAAAAGCAGGGCACACAACCCAAACTGGTGGTATGTTCTATAATTAGATCTCACCAAGACAGCAACCAATGTGAACCCCCAGAATACTACAGTGGTCTTATAATGGAGTCACAGTCAGTCCCCTTCAGCATGCCTGTCTATCTAGCCATAAGAGGAAGCTGGACTATGTGATAAATGGTCATTTACACAAAAAGACACTAAACATTTTGGTTGTACCCAGACCCAAGAAACCAGTCCCTCATCCAGGTTGATTTGCATCCTAGGTCTCACCCACAGACAACACCGGTAGCCAATTTTATAATAATAACTAGCTAAACATTTATTAGCTAAGAAAAAGGAATGTGAGTTACTGAGAGGTTAAAGTAGGTATAAGTATATATACAGGTGAGTTACAGTCTGTAACAGTGGTTCTCAAATTGTGGGGTGCCCCCCCAAAGAGGCACAGAGGAATCTTCAGGGATGCACTTCTCCCTCAATGCCAGCCTCTTGTTCTGTCTCCAGATCCAGCTCCTTCTTCATTTTCTCTGCCCCAGACCAGCTGTCTTTCTAGCCTTAGCTCCTCTGCTGTCCTCAGTTCCACTCCCAGCTCTGCTGAAGAAGTGGGCTGTGCCCACGATACCATCTACATGTTTTGTTAGTCTTTAAAACACTACCAGACTATTTGTTGTTTTTTAAGTTTTAGCTGCTGAGAAAGCCTTGTCTATATAGTAATTGAAGGATTTGTGTTCAGATGGATTCCTTTACTGGTAAGGGAGGGCACAAACGTCAGAGCAGCATTGATCTGTCATTTCAAAAGTCTTCAGAGATGTAGAAGTCTACCAGTTTCCCTAATTTATTTTTAAGGCTACACAAAGGAACTCTGAAGTCTCCATCTTCTCATACAGTTATTCTGCCCAGTTAGAATCTGAACAGTTAAGTGGTGAAGAATTTTTTTTCTTTGTATCCATACATTTAGTTTCTTTTCATAGAAAAACAAGTTGACAGTTCTCCTACCCAAGTGTGCTCTTTCTTAGGTGATGGAGGGAGGGAAATGCATTTAGGGTTTTTGAACTCTCATCATGACCCTAGATTACCTTTTGCTATGCAAAGCTCAGCAATTAGCATATTTCTATTGTTTCCTTCATTTGCATTACATGGCTTCTTTCTGTTTGATGAGTCACTTAGATATATACAGAAGCAAAATGCAGGACAATGTAGCACTTTAAAGACTAACAAGATGGTTTATTAGATGATGAGCTTTCGTGGGCCAGACCCACTTCCTCAGATCAAATAGTGGAAGAAAATAGTCACAACCATATATACCAAAGGATACAATTAAAAAAAAGAACAAATATGAAAAGGACAAATCACATTGCAGAACAGAAGGGGGATGCGGGGGGGTGGGAAGGGGGAGGAAGGAAGGTAAGTGTCTGTGAATTGATGATATTAGAGGTAGGGAGAGTGGGATGTTTGTGAGTTAATGGTATTACAGGTGATAATTGGGGAAACTGTCTTGATAATGGGTGAGAAAGTTCAAAGACTTGTTAAGTCCCTGGTGGTAAGTGTCGAATTTTAACATGAATGACAGTTCAGAGGATTCCCTTTCAAGTGCAGATGTAAAAGGTCTTTGTAGCAGAATGCAGGTGGCTAAGTCATTTAGAGAGTGTCCTTTCTGGTTAAAGTGGCAAGAAACTGTTTTCTCTTTGTGATCTTGTCTGATATCTGTTTTGTGGGCATTAATCCTTTGGCGAAGTGTCTGAGATGTTTGTCCAATGTACATAGCAGACGTGTCCATAGCAGATGGACACGTCCATTCTATAAAAACTGATTTGCTAGCTCATCTTGGGTTTGATTTGTTTTTTATCCTGCTTGGTGTGCCCGGTTTGTCAGCGCATATTAATTGCTCGGGATTTGCAGTGCTTTGTGGTTAGGAATTACCTACCAGTTATTTGTGGCATCCAGCTGACATGCTACCCCAACCTGTAATTATGGTGAGATTTGAGTTTACTGGTCTCTTTGGATTGTGTCTGTGTTTTGTTTCAAGGTGATGACACTATGACCGGAGATGGGGGAGAATACCTTAGGCCAGAGGACCTGAAAGAACTAGGTGATGACTCTTTGCCCAGCAGCCAGTTCCTAGATGGTATGAACTACCTGAGATACAGCGAGATGTTTGTCCAATGTACATAGCAGACGTGTACATAGCAGAAAGTGTCCGTCTGTCTATAAAAACTGATTTGCTAGCTCATCTTGGGTTTGATTTGTTTTTTATCCTGCTTGGTGTGCCCGGTTTGTCAGCGCATATTAATTGCTCGGGATTTGCAGTGCTTTGTGGTTAGGAATTACCTACCAGTTATTTGTGGCATCCAGCTGACATGCTACCCCAACCTGTAATTATGGTGAGATTTGAGTTTACTGGTCTCTTTGGATTGTGTCTGTGTTTTGTTTCAAGGTGATGACACTATGACCGGAGATGGGGGAGAATACCTTAGGCCAGAGGACCTGAAAGAACTAGGTGATGACTCTTTGCCCAGCAGCCAGTTCCTAGATGGTATGAACTACCTGAGATACAGCTTGGAAGGAGGCCGATCTGACAGGTAGCTTACCTTAAAATTATATGCTTGCATGATGATTTAAAGCATAATTTTGTTGAATAGTTAAGCTCTGTTATCATAATGTCCTTCAGCCAAAACAGCCGTGTGATACACCTATTCCCTCTTATTTCTATAATGATTGTCACTTCTGAGAAGAAAGCTATAGTCAAAAGAAAAGTCAGGGGACGAAAACTATCAGAAACAAAATACATTTGGTACTGGGGAAAAAAGAATTTGCAACTGGGGATGACCTAATTCTCCTCTACACTAATACTGTACATGGTCCTAATATCCCCAAGGTTTTCAGGAAAAGTCTGTGCATGATTCATGATGGGAGGATAATCAAGGGTATGGCTTGAGAAATGAGGGCAGGGTACCATCCTTCCTTATTGAAGCCACACCAAGTAGGAGTGATACTGGCTATGTGGTCACAGAATTAGCCTAACCTGTATTTGGCCCAGAGAAGATGACTTGGAGTCAGAGGATGATTGGCGAAGGTATTTTAGTGATTTGGAAGGATGCTCCTTTCTAGCTTTTGTTATCAACCAGAGTACAGAAAGAGAAATCTCACTAGGGCTATCTTGCATAGCTGGAGTAGCTTGTGGCATTAGTGCTAAGGGAAGTATAGTACTATTATGTTGTAAAGCCAAAGAGCAATAGCTCTTTACACTTTGAAAAAAGTTGTATTTGAAACTGAGATCAAGTCATTGTAATCTACATTACAATACAGGGCTCAGTTGTGCAACTTTGGTATTTTAACTAATGAGCATAAATGCATAATTGGGACCTCAAATTAACAGATAGTCACATTTCTGATTTAGAATTAAGTGCTGAAAGGAGGAAATAGGTGTCCTAGATTAGCATTCATATTTGAGAATGACATTGTCTAATATAAATTGCTCGTCATTTTCAAATCTAGTGCATTCAAAGGTGGTATTTCTTAAATAATGTCTGTGTCAAGCAAGTCACACCTCTCTCCAATGTAGTTTTTATTCCAGCAGCAAATAGGATCTGATCCAGAGCCTAGTGAAATCACTAGTCATCTTGATTGACTTCAATGGGTTTAGGATCTCTCTTGGAACTAAAGATGCCAGGAAATGACTCAGATTGTATCCTAGGCTATCTAAACCCCTAAGCATTTAGACCTGCCAAACTTGGAGACTTTCCTGTTCCAGTATATCCAATGAATCTTACAACACAGTGGCTTAAAAAAAGTCAAAAGTTTTACTAATAATATACTGCTCTGCTGGTGGTGATATATTTTTTTGTATTGAATTATATAAGACTGCTCACATAGGTTAATGCTGGACTAGATTCAGTTCTCATTTATATCAGTGTATATCTTGAGTACATGCATAGATTTCAGTGGATTTAACACTAATAGAGTTGAGATAAAAATCTGGCCCACTGTTTGCAGTATAAAAAATATTTCCATGTCCTGTATCCAATCTGTTTGAACTGAAATGCAGTACAAGGACATCCAGGAAGAAGAATCAAATAAAAATGTGCATTTTCCCAGTTTCATCTTTCCACTCTGCTTACACTACTGCAGTGAGATTATATTCATGAAAATTACTACTAAAGCTGCCTAAATAAAATTGCTCTGCTGTACTACCTGAATCCGAGACAATGCAATGCAGATTTCATTTTTTTGTTGTAACAAATGCAGCACGGTATATCATTTAAGCAGCTGATTTTCATGTATTATTATTATCCATTTAGTATTATATTTTAAAACCTTATATTTTTCTTTTGTAACTGTATTCCCTTTTTATTATTTCTCTCTCCTCATCATTCTTTCTAATATGCTTTCATTAGCACTATGCCCAGGTAGGTATTACACAGCATGTGTCTTCCCTAGCACACTTTTACAGCACCAATCACTATTCATCCATTTTGCAGGCCTGCTGATGGATCTAAGGAGGCTTCTGTACTTGAGTTATTGTTTTCCCTGGGCCAAATGAATGACATTGCTATTGGGGTTAGTTTTATTCTCAGACAAGAGAAATGACCTGGTACATATTGACAGATAGCTCAAGTAGATTCAAGAAAGGCTCAGGTCTGAGATGCGAAGTATGACCTCCATTCCTCAACTTAACTCAAACATATCTGCCATGTCAGACATGTCCATATGTGGGGACCTATTAAAGAACGTTTCCAAGGCTAGTTTATATAAAGTTGCAGGGGACTAGAGTAATTTTCACAGAGAGTTTAGGCAACAGAAAACATGTTGTATTTCCCACACCAGATGTCACAAGTATTAGTCATTAGTAGTTTCTAATACTACAATTATCCTCTCAATCTGTCAGTAACGGGATGAGTGGAGTCTCAGGGAGCCAGTGCATCCTGCAGTGGTGAATTTGGCAGCATTATCTGAACCATGCATGGAGACAGTCCAGATTAATAGATTTCCTAGAGTATGCCTTTTATTTAGTGGAACTTTGTGACAATATTCCTAAAAGCCTATCAAAAATAATTATTAGTGTATGTATCTTTTAATCAGCTTTGTTCAACACCACTACCTGTTAATAGTGAGGTGCTGGTTCCTATAAGCCCCCTGATATCTAGGTTTTTACCACTTAGTATATAAGTATACACCACTCAGCCCCAGATGCTTTAGCAATGAGGTTGTTCCTTATGTATTTAACTGATATAGCCCATAGAAAGTGAGCAATGCCATTTCAGTATTTGTCTTAAAACAAATATGTAAGGGGAATACTTCTGATTCATCACATACCTCCATCACCTTTGTAAAACTACCATGTCTCTTGGTAATGTCCATACCCTCAGTGTACTGGGCATGTATTTATGAACATATACCATTCACTGGGCATGTTGTGGGCAAACCATAGTGGCTGTAAGTTGTAATGTCTCATACCCATAGGACATAGAGGACCTAAACCCTGCAGGGTATGTCTGCACTGTATCTAGGAGCCTCCCAGCCCAGGTAGAGAGATTTACACAAGTGGAGCTTGGACAAATGCCTTAAAAACAGAGTAGGCATTGCAGCTCCAGGGGAGATTCAGATTAGCCTCCCAAGCTAAGACATGGGTTGGAAGAGTTTGAGTGCTCAAGCTGCCTCCTGAGTGGCAATGTTTATGTTGTTTAGCATGCTAGTTTGAAGCCCTTTAGCAGGAAGTCTGTCTACCCGGGCTGGGATGCTAGATCCAAGCTGCAGCCTAGACATATCCTTGGAGACCAGCAGTAAAGCCTGGTACAGTACATGTTTCCTTTTGTTCAGTAGTGGTCTGGTGAAATCTTACATTAGCTGAACAGCAGGACCTGTGACATGGATGGCAATCCCTTTGCAGCACTGCATGGCACTGTACATCTGCTCTGAATGTTTCAAGCCTTAACACAAATAAAGGATAGCGGTGAAAAATGGGGTCTGCTACTGATGTGTAATTTCTGATGTAATTTCTGATTAATTGAATTAATAATGTTATGGAAAGCAAAATGTAAAACTACAAACTATCTGCCAAAGTAATGCACACGTATTCAAAATGACCTACAACCAAAGCTTTTATTTAAAGCACATTATGTATGGACTAAAATGCATGAGGTGAAATCCCAGCTCCAATGAAGTCAGTGGTGTTTTGCCATTGCCACTGCTTTCAGTGGAATCAGAATTTCATCTGTGAAGTATATAATATATACAAAAAGTCATACATCATCCTTATTCAGTTCGGTTTGCCCACTCACCAGGGGTGAGTAGTACTTAATGTACAAGTGAAATATTGGTAGGTTTTTCACCATCATTATCCTGGTTAGAGTAGGTGAGAAGGTTTTCTGCACTAATTTTTAGGGCAGTTTTCCAAGGTGGATATTCATATAATAGTCACATCTTTGTTATGATCAATTTTGTACAGTCCATTTAATATGGTAGAAAGGCAAAGGAAGAGCTTTGATAGCTCTTTTAACTTTATGTATCTCTAATGTAACTATTATACCATGTATTGGATTATGTAATTATACACACTGGCATTGAACTGGATCTCTTGGGTCAATATTTGTGTCTGACTTCAAATAGGTTTACGTTCAATAGTATTTCAATTTAATGTATAAAATGTATGCTTAATATTTAAAATGGTAGTCAAAAAATAATTATCCCATTTTAAACCCACAAAAATATTGAATTCTTATGAGGACATCCACAGTTAGAGTAAAGCTCTGATTGAGAGAGAAAAAAATTAACTGCTAAACTACCAGGAGTAAATTAATCAACCTTCCCATATGATCATGTTATTTCAAAACTGTCCATTAGGAGGTTTCTTCCAGTTTCCTCTGAAGCATTTGGTACTAGCCATTGTCAGAAAGTTTACTTTGTTCAGTTGCTCTCTGGTCTGATGCTGTTTGGCACCTCCAGAGTTCTAATGTTTCTATGTTATTTTGGACAGTAGCCATGTAATCCATTAGAACGTAAATAGTTCCTAAACTTACTTATAATGTGTCCTCAGCTGCATAAAATAATAAGTACACCTACATAAGTACAAAGGGTTACCTGTAACATATAAAGAGGTCTGAGTTGTTGATTATTTTTGGGAAAAAAATGTGTATTTATTTATTTTAATATTTAAAGGGCAAAAATAATAATTCTCTGTGGCAGAAACCCCATCTTAGCTTGATATATCTTGTGTGCTTGGGTATCTTTGTTTTGCTTTTGTAGATTTTGCTTTGAGCTAGCAGATATTGCAATTAAGTTTTGAGCCTGGTGCTTGTAAGCAGCTCATTATTGCCTTGTACTTCCCATTGCTACAGCAATTGGTTTCTGTAGTGTTGTGTGTACGTGCAAAGGAACCTGCGCTCACATGTTGGATTGCTGTTTTAGAGATGCTGCAGGCATGCAGAAGGCACTCAGTTCTACACAGGAAGCATGTGGCTGGCCACAGGTCACCTTGCTGTGTACCTTCCAGGGGGCAAAACCAAATGAGTCTGAATACTGTCAGAGGGACTCATTCCAGCTTCTTGTCAGATATTTGCATCTATTCTTTTCCTAGACAGTTCACTTATATTATGGTGCAGGGAAGATAATTTTCTTAAAGAGCCTCAGCAGACATTCCTGTTTAGTATAAAGGATGCAATTAAGCCACTTAGCTAATTTAAAGTTCCTAAATTAACTTAAATATAAGTTAAGTTATATTAACAGGGGGAGGGATAGCTCAGTGGTTTGAGCATTGACCTGCTAAACCCAGGGTTGTGAATTTAATCCTTGAGGGGGCCAATTAGGGATCTGGGGCAAATCTGTCAGGGATGGTGCTTGCTCCTGCCATGAGGGCAGGGAACTGGACTCAATGACCTCTCAAGGTCCCTTCCAGTTCTATGAGATATGTATGTATGTATATGTATATCTCCATATAAAGCATTGGTGGATAGAAAATAAAATAGATCATGACGTAGTTTAATCTCTTGGGTTCTCCTTTGAATGAAATGAGAGAAGTCAGGCAAAATACTGGTTCAGTTCTGAATCAGAAAGTTAGCATAACATAGAGACCCTCCCAAGATTTTATTTTTTCCCATGGCTATTTTATACTCCCCCTGGAAGTTGCATTATATTTGCTAATAGCACGCTTTTTTCACTCCTCTGCTTGGTCAACCATCCCATTTTCACAATACCTTCTCTACTGCTGATAAATTGCCATGGCATCCTGCCTACCTACCAGCCTGCGATCCTTCAGTTCAGACAGGTCCCACACGTTGAGCCATGCCTCCTACATGAGGGACAGTGCCATGATCGATGATACGGTCATAATACCCAGCCACCAGGTAAGAGCTTTCCCTTTATCTCATTGATCAATTGTACAATAAGCATGTACTTTAAATATTCCGTTTTGGAAACATGAAAAGGAATCACTCTATAGATGCTGTTAACTATGTGATGTATGTGTGCTGCCATGTGAATTATACCATGAATGTGTCTAATTTCAAATGACTATTAAATTAACTAGCTTCTTATTTAATACTATATTTTGCACTAGCCAGAAATGTGTGAATATATCTCAGAATGTGTCTTTATAATGCTTTCTATTGTATCTTATTTTTGAGCAACATTAATAGGCACTGGCTCAAATATTCAGTTGCTATAAATAAAATCAAAGGAGTTTTACTGATCTATATGAGCTGTGGAGCTGGTTCACTATTCAGAGAGGATTTTTGAAGAAACTGTGAAGTGAGTTAAAGAGCTGTCAATCTGGTAACTCCCAGTATTCCTGTTCAGTGGGGCCAGTAATATTTGTGGTTGCTTTGAAAAAGCACAAGGTATTTCAATAAGATGCTTGTAATATTTTGATGTTGTTATTACTTATTTTTAGTTGTTGCCTTTTTTAAAGTTTTCATCATTTTCAGCCCTGCTATGCAAAAATAATTCTTACTTATGGTTTGTTTGGCTCATTTCTTTTTAAATATGAAAATACAAATTAAAGGCTTGTTTGGTTTTTTTGCATGCCCAGGTATCAACTCTGGCCAAGGAAGCCGAAAGGAATTCATATCGCTTAAGCTGGGGCACTGAAAACTTAGACAACGTGGCTCTTTCTTCCAGCCCTATTCATTCAGGGTGAGTATCTTAATCCACTGATTTGTACTGTGACAGAGAAAGAGTGAAAATAACTGAGGTCCCAGCTGCTTCAGCTAATGCTTAACTTGGAGTTCGTTTTTACTTCATTGCAGCCTAGTATTTAAAATAACTTGTTATAACCAAATTCAGTCAGTCAGAAGAATATGAATATGAGCCTGGTCCATTGACCAATGAATTAATTTTCATTGACTTCAGAAGCTTTGAATCAGGCTTTATATGAGGGATTTTGACCAATTACTATTGATACCCTCCCCCCAAAATCTTGGGTTTAATGGAGAGAAAAAGCATATCATGCCTCTCTTAGTTACTTTAATAATGGAGAACCAGGGCCTGGTTCAGCCATATGATGAGCCCCATTTGTGACGTCGTTTGACATCAGTGGGAGCTGGGCAACCTTGATCCCACAGCATCTCCCTTGACCGAATGAAATTGCAAGGGAGTGAGTGAAGGGAGGCTAAGTAAACTGTGCAAGGGCTTTTTGCAATTATAAAAAATTATACCCTAAAACAGCAATATGTAGTGAAAGACGTGAAAAAAAAATCACCAGTGCTACAACCATAATCTTCAAAGTCTGTTTCTTCTAATGAAGATGATCTTTCTAATAAATAAAGTGAATAGTGGTTGTGTGATGCCAACATGAAGTTATGTTTATTGCTAATCAATGAATGTTCTCCAGTTAATGTTCAAGCAGCCTTATGAATGTTTTAGTTTACACATTCCTGACCAGTTGCCTTCAGCTATCTCTACAACTGGATTACTTGTTGTTATCGTTTCCTTTTTAGCTCTAGTTTGGTGAAATGTGACCATGCCTGGTCAAATCAGTGTTTATAAATGTTATCCTTTATGGGGGGAAAATTGTGGGATTGTTTGCTTATTTGTATTTTGGGATAAAAAATAAGTAACTCTGAATACTTGTATCTGGAGAGTGTGTGTGTCAAGGTTTATATTTTAAAATAATAACTCTACTAATTGGTGCCAAATAAGTACAGTTCTTTTTTCCAGAGGGCGTATATTAGTTTTCACTACACTCTACTTGGACTGTCCAATGATTGTAGGTCATAAGTTATTTATTTTTTATAAGAGTGATTTCATATTCTCTGTAGCTTGATCATTTCACATTTTCATTTAAAGATTAATAATAGATTCCTTAGATATTTTATGTGACCAAGTTTGAGTTCCAGGTTCAAGCAATTACAAATAATAGAAGCAACTGCTTCTATAAAATCATGAGGGAAATAATCATATTTAACAAAAGACAGAGGGAATGTTTGGTATTACTATTCTGGTTTTGAATTTAAAATGTTAATATACCAATAAAATACTCAAAGATGCTTCTACGACCAGAATCAACCCTTGAAAAAAGTTCTGTGAAAATGTATTCTTACCTTCCATTGACTTATCAGAAGCATTACCTTATCTTCTGTATGTTAAATGGAAACACTGGATTAAATCATAGTGTTTAAAAAATGAAGTAAATTTGAAACTCTACTATACTTTTCTCTAGTAATGTTTGTTTAATTATTGTATGTTACTTTGTTGGAACATTAAAAATACATTTAGCATTTACATTATTTTCCCACTACCCTGAAGTCATTATCAGACTCTCGTGAGCTATCATGATGCTACAATATATAGTTTTCAAATACTACAGGGTTATGTTTAAATCACTAAAGAAAACTTTTTGTTTGACATTGTAAAGGTGTTTTGTAAGCATTGACTGTGGTTGTTTAAAGCCTGAGGCTTTGTTCCAAGATACCACAAGAAGAAAGACAAAACACTGGAAATGTGGTTTGACTGGGCTATAACCTTGTCCAATGCAGATTATTCCTCCTTTGTAATCTATTCTCCTTCCCCTCCCTCCCTTCTATATTGTTAACATGGCTTCAAGTGCTGGGACGTTACCACTCTCCTCTCTTATGAGGATTAAGGGGGTGCAGAGAGAGGTTAACTTCTTGTTAAGGGCATATCTACACTGCAGTGTTATTTCAAAATGACTCATGCTATTTTGAAATAACAGAGTGCACATCTATACAGCAATAATTTTGAAATAACAGGCTTCTCAATCTGACTTCTATAAGCCTCATTTCACAAAGAGTAAGGGAAATAGAAGGAAGAGTGTTCTTCCTTCGACTTCTTGCTGTTCAGACAGCATCGAAAGCCAAGTTAAGATACTTCAACTTCAGCTATGCAATTAATTCAACTTTAGACTGAAGTGTAGATGTATCCTAAGAGACCCATTGTAGTTTACCAGGAAATTGGACCCCTATTGACAAACATTTTCACTGGATACCTTTCAAGTTGTGATGATCTGAATCTTAAAACTTAGCCTACCCACCACATCCCTGGGCTGCAGTGAGGAAAACAAAAACAAAAAACCCCAAAACACCCTCCCACAAAAAAGCCCACCCTCCATAATTCCACCTGTCTCACTTCCCAGACTAATGCTTCTGAATTCTGAAAAGGTGATTGGAAGGCAGCCCACACAGTCCTAAAAAACCCCCAGCTGCAGGCAGGGTGTAGAATGGTACACAGGAGTCAATAAGTTTACATTGTAGCCAGTATAGCAAGTCTGTCTAGCCAGCTCTCCTCAAAATGAGAGGCTCAGAGCTCAAAAAAAGGAGAGGAAAAGGAGTGCGGGGAATCAGTTAAAGAGCAAAAGATTTTTTCCCCTGCTGGCCCATATAAAGCATCTCACAACTTAGGCTGTGGCAGTTGGGTGTGTATTTTAACCCTATCTGTCTTTTTATAGGCTCATTAATGATATGAGCGAAGAACAATAAAAGAAAGGTTAGATATTCTGGAAACAAGAAAACTCCCTCCTCCTATGGAAGCTGACTCCCCAGTAGTGTGCAATAATTTAGTATAGAACATTACCCTCATATTTTGCTTTATTGGAAATGCCAGAGAATATTCTTTTTTTTTTTTTTTTTATCCTGTCTATGTGTTATGGAAGACAAAGGTTTTGGCCAGATCTCTCTCAACAGTTTTCATCATACATCTTACACTGACTTTGTAATCTCATTGTGAAGGGGCACAATGTTTTCATTGGGTTGGAAAGTAAAACACTGAATTTGAAGAGCGCTTTCCATTTGAAGTTTTTGGGTATTGCTGGGCAATAGCACATTCTTATATATTTTTAAATCTATCAGGTGTGGTTTGTAACATTGAATGCAACTTGTATGGTTTGAATGGTACAGTACATATGCAAATGTGTTACTTTGTATGTGTTTTGGTGACATGCAAGCAACTTCAGATTCCATTAACTCTTCCGAATAATGTGACTACCAGAAATTTTCACTATAAATGTGTATTTAATAGTTCTTCAAGTGCTTGCTCATATCCATTCAGTGTTGGTGTGTAGGCTCTTCACATGCACTCGTGCTGGATGATTTTCCCGTAGCAGTAACCACAGGGGAGCTGGAATAGCGGCACATGCCACACTGTACAGGATACATCCGGTCCTCTCCACCCTCAGTTCCTCCTTGCTGTCAGTGATGGTGCTTGGAACCTGCTCTCCTCAGCATTAGCTGTCATGCCTTTTCTAGTTGTTGGTCTCTTTTTTTCCCTATTAATAGTTCCCATTGTTAGTCAAACTTAAAAAACAACGATTAATGATTAATGATTAGTGATTAATGATTAGGGGTTGGAACGGGTCCCATATGAGGAGAGGCTAAAGAGACTGGGACTTTTCAGTTTAGAAGAGAGGAGACTGAGGGGGGATATGATAGAGGTCTATAAAATCATGAGTGGTGTGGAGAAGGCGGATAAAGAAAAGTTATTTATTAGTTCCCATAATAGAAGAACTAGAGGACACCAAATGAAATTAATGGGTAGCAGGTTTAAAACTAATAAAAGGAAGTTCTTCTTCACACAGCGTGTTGTCAACCTGTGGAACTCCTTGCCAGAGGAGGCTGTGAAGGCTAGGACTATAATAGAGTTTAAAGAGAAGCTGGATAAATTCATGGAGGTTAGGTCCATAAAAGGCTATTAGCCAGGGGATAAAATGGTGTCCTTGGCCTCTGTCAGAGGCTGGAGAGGGATGGCAGGAGACAAATCGCTTGATCATTGTCTTTGGTCAACCCTCTCTGGGGCACCTGGTGCTGGCCACTGTCGGTAGACAGGATACTGGGCTAGATGGACCTTTGGTCTGACCCAGTACGGCCGTTCTTATGTTCTCATGTTCTTATAACGAATAGTCTGGTAGCATTTTAAAGACTAACAAAATATGTAGATGGTTTATTGTTACCAGTTACCTAGATTGTGCAGGTTCCATAGGGACGTAGCTTCAGGTTGAGGCATGCCCCATTCCACAGACTTCAAGTCGTATTGCAGTTGCAACTGGGCCCATGCAAGTGAGTGACCACCACTGACTATTTGCAGTACTTAGGAGAGGCATGTATTAGTGATAAGTACTACATTTGAAAATCTTTTAGCCTGGGACCAAAAAGGAGGGGGCCATTCATCTCAAGGCTTTCCTAATGGAATCTGCATTAGCTCCAGTGCGCGAACACTAGGACTCGACACTGAGTACAAGCGTATTGGTGAGCAGTGCTCTGCTGGCGCTGTTGGCCTCCTGGCACACAAGATGACGGTCAGATTCCTGAGGGGTCTTGAGTGGCCCTTACCTCTTATATAACCTCCTGTCCTCAATGGGACCTTAATCTGGTCCTCTCCAGGCTGACTAGACTACCCTTCGATCCCATGGTCGTGTGCTCCCTTCTGCATCTGTCCTGGAAGGTGGCCTTACTGATGGTAATTATGTTGGCTAGGAGGGTCTATAGAGTTGCGTGCCTTGACTTCAGAGCCCCGTACATTGTCTTCTTTAAAGACAAATTCTGCCTGTGACCATACTTCAACTTCCTTCAAAGGTGTTTTCAGCCTTCCAAATAGGTCAGGGCATCTGCGCGCCCTGCACGTTCACAGGGCCCTTGCTTTCCACATTGACAGAACAAAACGATTCTATAAATCACCCGAGCTCT